GGCAGTTTTGCAAACATTATGATGCTAGAATGGCGGGCCACACCTGCCAACTTCAAAATACAGGATCTCTGTAATGCAACTGCTGGACTTGCTGTATCAAGAAGCAAGGGACCAAATGGTATATGTGGATATCACAGAAAAAATATAAAATCTGAAAATAATCTGACCACACTATGCAGTGAGATGACTGCAAATTTACTTAATTTCGTCTTCTTCACCTTGCACCAAAGTCTAGAGGCAGAAATGAGTACTAAGAATTGCTAAGTGCAAACTATGTATCTACTAATGAGATGTACATGATGTTTGCACAGCATTTTATTTTATATATACACCATACACAAAAAATATGCGAAATAAAGTTACAAGGTGGTTCAAATATGACCGGAACTGATTTTTTTGTAAACAAGCCGCACTGCGCAGCAGCTGTACGACCTTGAGAGAGTGAAGCCACAACCTCCACCCTCCCTCCTGTTAGGGTTAGAAGCTGTTCAGTCCTGTCTGGAAGTTGCTAGAGTGATGAGTGAACAGAAGGTACTGCGGAGCGTGGAACAATGCATTGTGATCAAATTCCTCGTTGGAGAAAACGTCCCGTCCGCTGAAATTCACCACAGACTCCAACAACAGTATGGGGAAGTGTCTCTCACAGACCCGTGTGTTTGAGTGGTGTAAGTGCTTCAGAGAGGGCAGAGAGCGCGTGGAGAATGAACCTCAGGAAAAGTGATGGTAACGTTCTTCTGGGACTGGCAGGGGGTTATCCATGTAGACTTTCTGACAGATGCCAGAACAGTCAATGCAGCTTATTACTCAGACCTCCTGGCAACAGACGTGAAGGAAAATATCTGATCCAACCGGAAGAGAGGTGGAAAGCGGGTAGCCTTCCTTCAAGACAATGCATGCCCCCATACGGCCAAAACAATGGAAACCCTCCAGAAATCGAAATGGAACCTTTTGACACATCCACCGTACAGTCCCGATTTGGCACCAAGTTATTTCTACCTGTTCAGAAGGCTCAAATCAGACTTGCAAGGCATGCGGTTTGTGGACGACGCCGTCATCCAGAATGTTCGGGAGTGGATACGCCGCCAACCACAAAACTTTTTTGAAAAGGGCATCAGGATGCTTCCAGAACGTTGGAAAAAATGTGTTGGCTCTGGAGGGGAGTACGTTGAAGACTGACATGTGCAAGTAAGTGTTTGGCAATTTTGGTTTAAAAAAAAATCAGTCCCGGTCATATTTGAACCACCTTGTATAGGTCTTATATAAGATTTGTATTTCATGTCCTGTACCAGTTTCTCGATAAGTAACTTTTGACATCATGTATGAAGTTCAGTTTCAGCTTTGTGTAAATCAGGGGTATACCTATACGAGTAAATATGAAGCAATGAAAGACTTGCCTGACAACTTTCAGTTTAGAACCCATATCAAATTTCATCAAAATGGAATCAACAATTCTTTTAAATGCAATACGTGAAAACAATCCTCCCAGTTATGTGTTAGTTTTATGCACTTCATGGAAAAAATGCATAATGAATGGCCAGGCCTTAGACAGTTCACATGACAAGGGAAAGTAATGTTGAAACCAATATATTTCCATACAAATACTGAGAATCTGTTATACGAAATGCAATGTGAGAGGTCTGCTTCATGTCCAATTAAATATGCACTTTATAAACATCAGTAACTTGTAACGCACACAACCTCTTTACTTTTCTTTCTTCACTTGGCACCTCTGCACACATGGATTTCATTTTGTAATTATGCAAACCACTGAGATATATCACTTACACCTATTCAAAAACTGCAAACAATAAGTTACATACTTTTTTATATCCTATAAAAACATTAAACATTTCAGTCTTTAAAACTGGTCGGAAATTAAATTGAAAAATAATTTACTTAATACCTAATGTTTCCATTTTATATGTTCCTCCAAGCATTTCAATGTCATCAAATTTATTATCAAAGAAATCAACCTCTCTGAACATTCTACAATACTAAAATACAGCAAGTACAGGTTATGTAACACAATTGGCCTCTGTTAGGAATATTTTACATAAGAAATCGTCATACAGCTACAAAAGGACACCACAATTTTAATATCATCTAAATTACAAAAAAACAGACACCAGCAATATTTCTATCAAAAACATACTTTCCAAGGTGGAAAAGTGCATGCCATCTGAAGGACATCCTTGTTACTAAGTTGTCAGTGCCAATTATAACACCTTTCAATATTCATATTCACGAAAGTACCAATTAACGGAAAACAAAACTTTTTCAAACTTGAGCATAATCAGATAATCCTTGTATGACAGGCACTCTTTGTACTTGGTTTCAGGATGCAGCATCATTACCACATTCAACCTAACCTGCACTCACTTATGCTTCACCAAAGTTCCCAATCCAGAACAAATGTTTCCTTTCTTAATTTTTTTTCCCAAATCAGATAATTAAATGCAAAATTGAAAGTACAAAATAGCTCTTACATATGGAGAGAAACAAACAATGAATCTGATTAAGAAAAATTTAAAACCTGGACATGCATTGATTTCAGGTTTTGTGTTTCAAATCAGTTTCTCATACATTCATTTTCTAGTTCAGCTCATTAACCATATTATTCATCGCTCGAGCCATTATTCTTATTGTTTGAGTGTAGAGCTTATTTGTTTGATCCCAGAGAACAATGACTCCACCAAAAAGAACATGAAGCAGAGGAATAAATCCTTTCCTATGTATACAAATAACTATCTTTCTTACTGTTTCACAGGCAGTCAATATAACATTAGTTTTGCAAGACAGAATCTACTGTCTCCTAGTTTTTAATAAATGAAAACAGTTTCAAACTACTGAATTGACTGCTGTATCATACTTAAGGATTATCATAGCAAATTCAACCAAACATTGCAGTTGAGTTGGTTAGCATACCTGCTATCCGTTCAGATCTAATATGGACCCAGAGACTGGCTGCCCTGACCAAGAATGTATGTTTTTTCCTTGGTCATATATAATAAATGCCAAGTGAGTATCTTAAATTGGGCCATAACTGCTCCTTTCACATCCTTTCCAATTCATTACTCACTAATTATCCCATCATTTAATGCCAAATGAACTGAGAATCTGAAAGTTCCGTCAAATAAACCATTAAAAAAATAAACTACAAAAATCATATCTTGGATTCTCACTACAGTGCAAAATTTGGTGGAATTTCTTTCTAACAAAAGGACAGTTCAAACAAAGTAGTCAAACAGAATCTCTGCTCTCTTTATTTGTCTTCCTTGTTATCAACACCATAAAGGTAAAATCAAGCAAGCTGGCTCAAACAATAACCATTCTGGCTGGTATTCAAAATGTTCCCCGTCTGCATCTCAGAATATACATATATAAGTGCCTGAATAAATTCAAGTTCAAACCCCATGTCTCAACCCAGAGTGAAAAGAGTACAGTAAACTCATAGTTATCTAGCATATCCAGTTACACAAATTTGCAGGTTGCATTATAATTGGAAATAATTACAAACCCAAACTTTATTAAACCGTTAATTCATTATATGGAATCATGCCAAATAATGTGATCTTGTCACTGAATAGGTTGGAATAGCAGTAAGGCTCTATACTCAAATTCTGGAGGTCCTCACTTCAAATCTTAGTCAGGGCACCAGCTATCCTGACTGAGGTATTTCATGGTTCTGCTCAGTCCCTCAAGGTAATATTATATTTAAGCATCCTGTTGCACTCCATACGATAAATGATATAACCTCCGTCTCAAGTGCAAACAATATATTCTTGTATCTTTGATCTTGCTCCCTACACTACATGTTTCGGCCTCAGACGGCCATCATCAGGTGTATCATGTATCATCACACGTAGTAAAGAATAGCAGCGGCATGCACACAGAAAGACCACACAGGATAACACCTATACAGTGTGGAAACAAGAACTAGCCGCTGCAGCACTTCAAACACAGGGCGAATAACCCTAACAATTTTAAAATTTTAAAATTTGGACAAGAATTTAAAAGTTTAAAATTAGAACTAAAGATTTTATTATGGTGCTATTACAATAAACTCAAAATTAACGTGTGTGAAGTAATCTACGGGTGGACAGCTATCAACGAAGTAGAAGTTGATAATGACAGGGAGAGTGTTTTAGATGTTAAATTTTGAACTGGGTGCAGTGTGACAGCGACGTGAGTGTTATACACCTGATGATGGCCGTCTGAGGCCGAAACATGTAGTGTAGGGAGCAAGATCAAAGATACAAGAATATATTGTTTGCACTTGAGACGGAGGTTATATCATTTACCCTCAAGGTAAATGCTGGGATAGTACCTCAATTAAGTCACACCTGCTTCCTTCCAAATCATTTCCAATTCATCATCCATCATAATACCTCAGGACATTACAAAATCCAGCTATTCACACTGTCATTAAATAACACCCCCCAAAAATGATGTTGCAATATTTCTCCAGTTTCACTGACATAAGAAACACAAGCTGTAGTTCAGTTGGTGGAAATCACACTGTTCAAAGGTAACCAGCATTAAATAACGAATGGCTTAATGAGAAAGAGATCTATTGCGTCCTTAGAAGCAAGCAGAGCACATCAAATCCAGAAAGTCACAATCATAAACTGTACATATTCATAATAAACAATAACAACAGTAACAATTAACAACAGTGTCAGATTTGAGGCTTCCACGGCGGTNTTTAAGATCATTTTAGTGAAAGTTTCATCCTTCAAGGCGTACCATTCACTGCTGAAATACTAAACAACCTGCTTCCATGGCCGAGATACAGGGCGCCCATATTATAAGGTAAGGTTATAAAACCACCATTTAAGATCATTTTAGTGAAAGTTTCATGTTCCTATCTCATAGAATTTAAGAACAATGATGAATAAATAATTTTCGAGCAAAATTTAAATGGCCGGCTGAATATATTACCGCAGGAGCCGCGGCCGCGGAATTTAAATGACCACGTCAAAGGGTTAATAATACATGATGAACTGGGGCAATATTTGAACTCTGAACTCTATTTCAAGTTAGTACTTAATATGGACCAAATGTAAATCCACCATACAACAGAATTTAATGGTAATATGCATTAAGTATCTGACACTAAATTAGTTTGAGTTCTTTTACCAAATTTACAATGTTGCAATTCAATGCCTTCATGTTTGTTACAATACTTGTAACAACTATGATGATCTTACCAAGTATTCTTAGATAATGACTGAAAAGATGTACCAACCGAACAGTCATAAAATGGATACCAAGATTTTAACAGACTAAGGGTTTTGTCGTTACAATTATTGTAACAATAATATGAATGACAATAACTTGTAGAATAACTGTTTTCTTTGTAAAAGTTAATTGTATGGCAGTTTATGGAAAGTACATAACTTGGGTAGTGGTATTTCTTCTACTGGGCTTTCATTTCATAGAGTATTTTCAGATACCACTCAGCTGGACCATTATCACTGTTGTTTCAAAATGGGTTCCTTATTATATATGCACATTTTCAAACTGCAATTACCCAATTTGATGCATGTAAGTACATACATCTTAGTTCTGGATAACAATGGTGACACATAAATGACTCAATATATATTTTCATTCATGTTTTCTTTAAGAATAGGTACTACAAATCTGTTGGTTAAACCTACATCAGATTTTTTTGAATTCTTAACACCACATTATTTAAGGGATGCCACATATTTTGACTATACATGAAATTACATCTCAACTCTATATTGTAGTCATCTAAATTTCTACAATTCCCTACTCACAACCAAACTACAACAAACGTTATACAATACATCCAACCACCAGGACTATTATCACAAGGCTATTTATTTTGTTTAATATTACATAAATACTGCATCTCAAATATAATATTCTATATACATCACTAAATATATTGGGCACTGTCACAGGCATAAACAAATGCCCTAGCAAGATTAATGACTATATGACCCAGATGGTCCTCTCTTTGATTTTACATCTCAAGAATGTTTTAACTGTAACTAATATACTGTATATGAAAACTGTACTGAGAATTTATCTTCAACAGCACAGCCAGCTGAAAATTTTTGTCATGGACTTCTCAATGTTACCTTGTAAACGTGATAAAACTCGAAAAATAAATACAGCAAATCTGTACTTCATACTTAAAAATTGGCACATATTTTGTCATGCAATTGGATGGCAATTCTTAGGCAAAATCCAAAACGTGTGCATAAAGATTTTGAACTGATCTGAAAAAAATTACATAAAAGCGAATTTACAAAAGTATGTAATATTGTTCCAAAGTTGCACCACAACTTTTGGCACTTTATTTCCTCACAAGTACACACAGTACCAAGAATTGTTTCAGTACAGTGTATTTAGATGTAAAATTATCAAAGTTTGGGCTTCATAAATCCATACAACAGTACTACTGTACACACATTTTTATTATTAACATTTGCCTCTCTTGCTATGACTTATTAAAGATTACCTGCTTCTTTTACGACTCCAGACTTTATCTATTAATTACAATGCTAGCTGCAGGAACAATAGAAACTATCAGTTAACAGAGCCTTAAATAATTTCCAATGAGTTTTTTCAATGCCAAACACATCTTCTCCCTATACTGAATTCTGGTCAATGTTTGAAACATGCCTGCAATTTTAAAAGCCAAGCCTAATTTGTCTGCAAACTTGTACTGCTTTGAAACTACTCATTCTTCAGTTACTTCACTGGAACTAGCTAATGACAACACTTAGTAAGTTATCAGTAAAGAGCAGCACAAATGTTCAAGCTACCCTTATCACATGAAGTCAAAACTTCCTTGTCAGCCCTATGGCCTCAAAGTAAACAAGTAACAGAACACATTTAAGCAACAAATTTCATTATTAAAGAGGTAGATTGTCTTCTCCCTAATATTCCTGCTGAGCAAATATTTCTTGAGATTACAACTTGAATAATAAGCCCTTAACCAAGAGAAAATGAAGCTTGCTGACCATGCAATCACTCTTTCAACAGATGCTCTCTTTGCACTCATAAAAATCTCAATTTTCCAATGGCAGAGGTGGGAATAACACAATCTGGCACACAGGAGTGTGTTCAATATTTCACCTGAGGGAAATTTTATTAAATTCTCCATAATTATGTCCTGCCTCATTTCATCTGCTACCTCAATATTCTTTATGTAATATGTATTTGTGCCACAGACTAAGCCTTTGTTACCAACCACACTGCATAGGTCCAACTCAAGTACAGGCATATTATTCATTAACAGATTATATCCTACACCTGAATCATAGACGTGTGGGTCTTCTCAGTGTGTAATGTTGACCTCACATGGACTTCCTGGAACAGAATTTTCCTGATAACCAACTACAACAGACATGTTGCCTTTCTCCCTCTAAGCACAAGATTCCTTTTCAACCCCCTATTTGCTGTATCAATCTTCGTAACACAGCTCTTCCACTGTTCCTCAAATTCAGCTGGAGGAAGGCTGCTAAAGAAATGCAGAACTTCACGGATCAACTGAATCTTATGCACATTAAACTGGCGCTTGCCCATTTTCCCATTCACGTTGCAGAGGATGCGTTCCTCAGTTGAAAACAGGATCTTCATGAGGTCACAAGCCAACTGCTCCAAGGTTCGAGCCTTGGCCCACGTGGACAGCACCTGAGCTCGTGGCAGCAGACAGGCATATGGCAGCTTCTGGTAGGGGAGCAGGAGGTCCAGCCCTGACCCATCACCTTCGCCTACACACGCCACACAAGACAACATGGACGTTAGTCGCATGCTCTCAATGGCGCTGCTCTCCTATGCCCAATTCAACAACTTTACAGAACGTCCAGCTTCTGAACATGCTTCTTACTTAACAGCACAGCCCAACACATGACTACTCTTGAGCCAAAGTAACAAATTCACAATTGAAAGTTGAGTATAAAACACCATACTTATGACCATTACTGTTACTATACACTCAGACTAATCATTACCTCTGCTATTAGCACTGAGTTCCCTGCCAGAATGAAGCAGAATTACACCTTTATGAACACAAAGTACTACAGCTTATCACAACATATATAATTCCATTAGTTTATTAATATCACAGGCAACAGAACTTATTTGTAGGAGGTGATGTCAGTCTGTGTGCTTTCACAATATAAAAAGAGTAAGCCATCCAAACACCAAAAATATAATTACATTCCCCATACAAATTAATTCACAGCCAAGAAAATTACCTAATTTGGACAAGAATACGTAGCATTTAACACACAACCTTTTATTATATCTTTATTGGAATATAATGACAATATAATTCCCATTTAACATTTCTCACCTTGTTTAGTGTTCCAATTTATGGTACCATTTCAGTTATCTCGGTATTAAATTCCACCATTTAATGTCTCATCAGTTCATTGTTCAAATCCACTGTATCCTATACAAACCTAAAATGAGGACCCCACAGTGCCACTGATTTGAAACTTTGAACTAAGGACAGTAAAACAGTTGCCTTAGTGAACAGAAGTTTTAGTGTGGCACATCAATTCTATAATCCTCAAATGTTTCAAAAGACACCTAACTTATACCAAAACAATTACAAACTGCTGTGACAACAACATGCACAAAACACAGCCTATAATATAATTCTACAACATACTCATATAAAGCAAGACAACAGAGACAGCAGAAAGAGAGCATTTTCCAGTCCATAAAAAATTAGAATAAAAAACATCCTCTCAGTAACACTAAAACATTGTCAACTGAGAATGGTTGGGGCTAAAACAAGCCCCTACGAAGATCTTTCAATGCTCAACAACTCCTCCCATGAAAGCTCATTCAAGGTTGACCACTTCTCACAAGTTAGGAAGGTTGCAGGGCTTTTAATATCATAAACTTCTTACTGTGCATTTAAAATTAAAATTAAGCAGATGTTCTGTATTTGTGTAACTCAGTTACTACTTCAAATTACATATTAACTGAATTTTTAACAATCCACACTAGACAACAGACAAAGCTGGATCTTCTTAGATGAATAATGATAATTATTTTGAATAATGCAATGTAAAATTAATGGAGTATTACTGTATCTTATCTTACCATGCATTTGTACAAGTACCATTCATCTATAGCTTAATGGCTCACATTCCAGTGGACACAGCTAAAACAGAAAACACCGACATCTCAAAAAGCTTCCCTACCACTGGTTCTGTCTTTTCCACGACTGCCTGATGACTATTTCAAATCTACATTCTCAATTGAAATCAGATATACACCTTCAATTATTTGTAATTGAAGAAGGCAGACAGGCATACTACAATCATCACATTAATCCTATGGAAACTCACTACCATTTTATATTCATTTCAATCAACCATAATTTCATTAAAATAATTCATCTTACTTTCATGTATGCAAATCTAAATAAAAATTAAAATATAATTCAAACATGTTACTTGTACATAAAATTAAAACACCTTTCAAACATCATTAACTAAGTAAGATTTGAGGCTTTCACGGCGGTGACTATGAAGAAAGCAGTCTTCTGGGATTTGGCACCGTGTATATGTGGTGTTAACCGACGTTTCGGAGGAACGTATCGCCCCCATCTTCAGGGTAGAAGAAAAAGTATAAGAATTCTGCAAGCGACAACACCGTGAGAAACGGTACCGTTCCTCCGAAACGTCGGTTAACACCACATATACACGGTGCCAAATCCCAGAAGACTGCTTTCTTCATCATTAACTAACTGCTATGTTTCCTATAGGTGGATTTATATGAAACTTTGAAACATATACACCTAAAGCCATTTTTCATTACCTGCAGCATAACAGCAATATATGAAAAATGTTTAATAATGTTTAATAAAATGAAGCATGGAATAAATAGTCGCTTTTATGCTTGAACACAAAATGCAATAATACACACAAGATCAAAGGGAAATAATTTTCTTAAAAATAAACAATGTTAATATTCATATGCATTATGTTAAAGAAAAATAAGTAATCTATGATTGGGTGTATTCTGGAAAAGTTACTATTGACCTCAAGTTTACCAAATACATAAACCTGCATGCATTTTACCTTTCTCTGCATCCAAATACTCTAACATAACAATAAACTGCACTTCAGCAGTGTCTGTATAATTATATTAAAATACAGAACTCTTAAAAAATGAAATAAAGATTAAATACGAGTAACATCATAAAACTAAATTCGCTGGTTGGTCTATACTAGATTATATAACATTCTGAATTATGTGATGAATCATTGATTCAATTTCTTCTTAAACAAATGTTATTCTTTAATTGGTAAAGTCATTTCAGAATGTCTGCCACAGCAATGCACAATTTTTTTAAGAAATAACAAAATGAGAAGAGGATATTATCATGTAGAAGAGAAATATTTGATAAGATTACTACACTGTCATTAAATAGGGAATAACGGTTTTAACTCACTGAATTACATACCTTAAATTTACAACTAACATTAGAATATCAGTGTAAGCCCAGGTCTTGAGATCTCTTGAATCTGTGTCAGCTAAGTTAAGGCATAACTATATCTTAGAATTATCTGTGTTGTCCAAGACACAATTACAATCACAAACTACAAAATGAATTGTTATATGTATATTTAACACACCCCTGGCTGGATATATACCTATAGGGTCTGATACTGGATCTGGCTGTTTTAGAATGCAATGTTGTAGAAGACAAAGTGGAGCAGGGGAAATTGTATGTGTACGAACAAACTCGTAGATGTACAGAATTTCAATAATCTCAACAAAGTGGCCCATGAATCAACATGCACTTACAGTTTAAACTTTTAAGCACAACCTATTCTGAATGAAACCAAAAAGTTTGTGATGGTATATTAATAAAATGACTAAATCTTACTGACATCCATCACCCTAATTTTTATTTAAAATGACATTTAAGAGACTGGAATGTGTCTCAGGAAATGTCATTTCAAATAAATATTATTATTACAGCTCACAAATTCATTCATCTGCATAACAAGCTGTGTTCAAAATAAAAGTTTCAACAATAAACATGCTCTAATTCACAGGCAATTTTGTCATTATTACTAAACTGCATACACTTAACAGGCACGTTTTTATATGTACAACTTCGCCTACACCACTTTCCCTTCAACAGCAACACATTTAAGATTACCCAATACCAATGACAAACCCTGTGCATGTATATGTGTGTGTGTACATGAAACTCAAAGTTTAAAAACCAAAATAAAACCTGCAACTAGATGCTACCTTGAGTAAGTTCCATATATTCACTTGTTAAGGACATATAGTACATCACTGTAGACTACAGATATATCACCAGTTCAAATAGGTCAGGCATGTTACAAAACAAGGCTGGTTGTCATGTGATCAGTACAGTAAAAAATTGCATGAAGAAGCTTAGTTTACAAAAAGTGATGCAAATAATTTGTTTCAACCTGCAAAAATTCATAATTTATTTATATAAATCAAGTTTCAATTGTATGAAATATTATTCTAATCATGTCTAATGACACATTGAAGGTATCTTCTTTCAATTCTTCCTGCTTGTTGGGAATAAACTTATAAACTATAGTGGAACCTCGCATAACAAGCATAATTCGCTCCAGAATCTTACTCGTAATGTGAAACACTCATTAAGCGAAGCAATTTTTCCCATATAAATTAATGTAAAATATGATAATGCATTCCATGCTGAAAAAAAATACTCAAAAAATTTTATGTATAACGTTTATTCAAAGAAAATTATATATACATTGTTAAGGAGCGTGAATCATCTTCATCTTTTCTTCTATGCGGAATGAACCAACCTGGAATGCGAATTTGATTTGCAGAAAAAAAAATAGTTTATTATTTATGATACATATCTAATTCTTTTTTACCAGAAAGCTCTCTAGAGACATTTGTTTTTGCTGACACTTCAAAATTTGGTGGAAATGAGACACAGCATTATCATTAAATAAATTTGTAGCGCACATAGCCACTGCCTTATTAGGGTGATGCTTCTCAATGTACAATGCAACAGTTTTCCATGCTTTCAGCATTTCTCTTGTTGTGCCAGAAGATTGTTGCTTTGCTGTTACCTCCTCCTCCTCCTCCTCCTCTGACAAACTCTCCTCCACAACTTCTTGCTGTGAAACAAAATGCAACTCCATAAGCTCTTCGGTGGTCAACTCTTGGCTGTGCTGTACAAGCTCATCGCTATCATCGTTATCCACCTCCAGCGCCATGATCTTGGCCAAAGACACAATCTTGTCGACTACAGGCTCCACAGGTACTATCTCAAACCCCTCAAAGTCACATTCGACAATGTTCTCCGGCCAAAGCTTCTTCCAAGCAGAAGTGAGGCGAAAATCACTTTTGCCTTCTCACAAATGGTGTTCTCGTTAATAGTCTCGCCTTGCAATTGCTTTTCGTTTATCCATACAAGAAGCAACCTTTCAACATCATCGAGAATATGTAACCGTTGTGTAGATATTCTTGTCACTACCTTTGAAGAATCTATCTCCTTAATCTTGTCCTTGTTCTTGAGGATAGTGCAAATTGCTGATGTAGACCAATTGTATGTGCGTGCTAGATCAGCAACGCTCACACCTCATTCTTGCTTTTCAATGATTTTACATTTCATTTCTACGGTTATTTTTATTCTCTTATGGCTGTCTTTTTCTTCAGGGACATGTTTGCAAGGATTATTAAACTTGGCACAAAAAAAATCACAAATAATATGTCTGAACAC